TTCACACCTGGATCTCCATTCCCTTCTGCTTTCTCTATGTAACTGCCCTCTCAGGAAACAGCCTGATTCTCTTTGCCATTGTCACTCAGCCCAGCCTCCACGAACCCATGTATTATTTCCTCTCCATGCTGTCCACCACTGACCTTGGCTTGTCTATATCCACCCTGGTCACCATGTTGGGTATATTCTGGTTCAACGCCAGGGAGATCAGCTTTAATGCCTGCTTGTCACAGATGTTTTTCATTAAACTTTTCACTGTCATGGAGTCTTCGGTGCTGTTGGCCATGGCCTTTGATCGTTTTGTGGCCATTTCTAATCCTCTCAGGTATGCCACCATTTTAACTGACTCCAGAATAGCTCAAATTGCAGGGGCAATTGTCATCAGGGGAACATTAATGCTGACGCCAATGGTAGCCCTTCTTAAAAGACTGTCTTTCTGCCGTGGCCACGTGCTCCATCACTCCTACTGTTTCCACCCTGATGTGATGAAGCTCTCATGCACAGACACCAGGATCAATAATGCAGTTGGATTGACAGCCATGATCTCTACTGTTGGTGTGGACTCAATCCTCATCCTCTTTTCTTATGTTTTGATCATTATGACTGTCCTCAGCATTGTGTCCCCAGAAGAGAGGACAAAAGCTTTCAGTACGTGTATCTCACATGTTGGGGCTGTTGCTATTTTCTATATTCCATTGATTAGTTTATCCTTTGTTCACAGATTTTGGAAACGGGCCCCACCCTATGCACATACTATGATTGCTAATACTTACCTGCTGATCCCCCCTGTGATGAACCCCATCATTTACAGTGTGAAGACCAAACAGATACGTAGGGCTATGATAAAAATTCTCCATTCTAAAGACACATAGAATCATAGAATTCTAGATACAGTCTACATCAGGTTATGTTATTTAAAAAAGGAACTGATGTTCACTGAAGCTAAGTGAACAAAAATTTAAAATTAAGGCTGGATTACATTTAGATATCTACATTTCATAGACATTTAGATTATCTATGAATTTGACCTCTTTATTTTACAAATGAGAAGACAGAGATACGAGAAGGGCAAGGATGAACAGCCTAAAGCCTTAAGTCTAGAATTTCTCTTCCCCGTTATTGTTCACTCTAAACTGCTGTTCATCCTGCCAACAGACTTTCTCTTCTTACTTCATCCACTTCACATCAGTTAGAGGGACACATCACAAAAAATGTCACTTCTTTATGAGAATTAGGCAGTATTTCCTAACTGTAATAATAACTTTAATTAAAATTTTTATTTCTTTTGACTAGTCATGGTTGCAGGTATTTTTTACATATATTAACATATTTGATATCTAAACAACATTATAAGATGGTTACTTTTAATATCAATGACAAATTAAAGCACAAAATGTTAAGTAGATTGCTTAAACAGCTAGTGAGTGACAGAACCAATCACATCTCACATCTAAGCAAAATGACTGCAGGGTCCCTTATATTCTTAACTTTAATGTTATATTGCTGCCTATAATGTGAACTATATATGTATAATTATATATGTATATAACTAGTATATATGTGTATGTGTGTGTATGTGTGTATATATACACACATATATGTATATATATCAGTATGTGTAATTTATAGTGGGAGACATAAAGAAGCAAAAATAAAATAAAAATCATAACTCTGTCCTCTAGAAATTTTCAACCAAATTATGGAAGATCCCAAAACAAAATCTTCAAACCTCAGAAATGTATTTCTTCCAGATGCTTTTTCTCCACTAAGCATATTCCAGAATATCTCTCCACCCTTCGTCAATTTTCTCTCCCAGCAGAAATTGAAAAGTGACTACAGATTGCAAATGAATTATAATTTGTGTAATTAGAAATGTTTTAGTTTGTGGCACATATTTCATGTAATAGTCTAATCTAGCAAGTTATTTTCTTCAACCTGGGTATATCCATTAATTCTCAAATTTTTAAAGTACATATTTCAATGACACATTAGTATCATTCGGTAAAGGTGAGCCCTATAACTAGTATCAGAGCCAGAAAGGAAGTAGAAGCAGTCATTCATATCTACAGAGAAGTTATTAAGTGACTACATTACTGGCTATACAATAATAAGAATGATGTCAAAATCCTCAGCATGTTTTACAACAATATTTTCAGTCTTAATTATTGTTAGTCTTCATCTCCCTGATCTTTGCATGCTGTAATGTTCCAGGACTTTGTTTTCAGATCTGTTTTTTCTTTGTTATAGTTCCATTTTCGGTCATCTCCTCGAGCTTCATTGCTTTACCATCTATATAATAATAAATCCAAATTAATATTTGTATTCCAGATTCATGTCTAACTGCCTGTGTATCCATATCTCCACTTGAATGTCTCATAATCATGTTAGACTCATCATGTCAGAAACCACATCCTAGTACTCACATCAAGGAAAAACATGCTCAACTACAGTTTTCCATAACTCAGAATCTGCCTTTCAAGTTACTGAGAAAGAACACTTGGAGTTAGCCGTTACACCTCTCACTCCCAGATAGTCTAGATAGTCCAGATATTGATATCTGGGATACAACTACTTTCTACCACCTCTACTGTAACCACCATGATCCAAGCCATCATCATCTTGGACCTGAAATATAATACTCTCCTGGTGGATCTTTCTTCATCCACTCTTCCTTTACAGTCTCATATTATTCTCATATTAGTTAGAGTGATTATTTCAATACACAAGACAGATCGTGTCACTTCCTCTGTTCAACATGTTCCAGGGGCCTATTTTACTCAGAGAAAATCCACAGTCATTGCATCTCATATTTGGCTCTTCTCCATCATTTCAACTTGATTTTCTACTGCTCTCCCCTATATTCACTCTACTACCCCCACAACAGCCTCAAGTATTTCCTTAAACTCATCAAGTATGTTTCAACATCAGCCTTCACACTTTCTGCTCTCTATACCTGAAATGTTCGTCCACCAGATACCCACATGATTTATTGCCTCACTTCATGCAGGTCTCTTCTTAAGTGTCACCTTATGACCAGGCCCTTGACATAAAAAATAACAGCACTCCTCCCTCAATTCCTGTCTGCAGTCATTCTCTTCCTTTCCCACCTTGTTTTTAGTTTCTAGCACTTTCACCCACCAACATACTACATATCTGTTTATTTCTTTTCTAGTTTTCCCATTACAAGGTAAGGTCTTTGAGAATAAGGACATTGCTTTATTTTTGCTGTCTTCCAGATCTTAAAACTAGGTCTGCCACATAGTAAAAATAATAAAATCTCTGATGATCTGGCTCTATTTACCTTATTACTGTCAAGCCTTATTACTGTCTCTCTATGCAGTGCTCCAGGCACAACAAACAACTTGCATTCCCTTAACCCTGATGACTCTATCTCACTTTCAAGCCCTTAACAAGCTGTTCCCTTCTCCTAACATAGAAGTAATTTTCCTTGAGAAACTTTTTTCTGACTTCTCAAGTCTGTCTGGTGTCCTCTCCAGGCACTCTTGCATCTCCCTGTGCTTCTTCCTCATGCACAACACTCCTCTTCAAATCTACTGTAACCATTTCCCCACGACAGACTTTGTGCCCACCTCTCAAGACCAGGCACTGTGTCTTATTCACTGTTGGAACTAAATGAAAAAGTTCAGGTGATGTGGACTTACAGACTGTATATTTGCTTGTTTGTTTATTTGTTTCAAAACATAACATAAGATGGTGTGTGCAGAAAAGAAGCAGAGAAAGAGAAAGTGTGACATGGACTAGAGAAGCATGGGGGTACTTAGAATTTTAAAAATGGAGAGAAGAAAGAACTTCAAGAACCAGACAACCAAGATGTTTATACTACTTCTGCCAATGTTTCTACCCCACCTCACTCCACATACACTACTGTGTGAACAGGCCCACTGCCCAACAATCCTTGAAACTTATAAGCTTCCATACTTAGGGAGTGGGTACTTCGGACACCTCAGGGATGGGTGGTTTGCAGAGCAAATGTCATGTTCTGACTAAGGTGGACAAGCTCATAATGAATTGGAGACTTTCCTAAAAGCCTGAGCAGTAGTAGACACATGACCACTGCTATAGCTACTTGAATTCAGAGTCCAAGCGAAAGCCTTTAAATGTCCTGTAAGTCCTATAAGGCCCTATGTGATTCAACTCCCCAATACTTGTCTCCCTACTACTCTCCCCCTTATTGCTCTGCTCACACACATTGTCCTCCTTGTTGTTCTAAACTACCTCAAAAACTTCATTTGTAGTTTCTGTATCTTCTCAAAAACTTCAAAAACTTCATTTGTAGTTTCTGTATCTTCTTCCTGAAATGGCCTTCTTCAAATATCTTCATAGATCTACTTCTCACTCCTTCAAGCTTCTCTTTAAATATGTGAGGCCTTCCCTGGAAACTATTTAAAATTTCAACTGCCCCCTTAATATTTATCTGTTCCCATCTTCCCTTTATTTTGTCTCAAAAATACTTAACATCCTATTTGGTTTTTCATTTTAACTCCATTTATTGCCTGTCCCCTTCAATAAAATGTATACTTTATGAGGGTGGGAATTTTTGTTTTTGCTTTTATCTATCTTTCTTATTTTATAAGCCCTTGATAAATATTCGCTGAATGTGAATAGTCAGAATACCTAGTTCTCCAACCAATATTATTACTAATTCACTGTATGACCCAAGGCAAAGAGCCTTTATCTCATCTATTCTTTATTGTAACATAGGTGCAATTAAGAGTGGCTTCCTACTTTTTTTGTACCCTTCTTGATTTTGAAAGAGGATGTGAACTCCTAGAGCCCAAGGACATAACAATATAGGTACATTAGCTGGAGTACTTTGGCAAAGTGGCTAATGAGGAAAAGCATTGACTGTGGCTGACTATGAGAGTTTAAGTTCCTTGGAAGAGTAAGATAAATTGTCAAGAGAGCCCTATATGTGTAAATGTGGGAGTGACAGCAGAGGCAGTGGGCCCTTTGTGATTGCCCATCCCCGCAGGCAGTAACAGTTGGGAACCTGTGAGAGTGACACACAAGAGGACATGGTGTTATTGTCCCCTGTCTGCCAAGCCCCTGGGACCCCAGTCTATGCTCCCACAACCTGTTTCTATGGAACTCCTGGGCAGCATTATAAATAAGCCTGTGCCTGAAAGAGCGAGCCAACTCCAGCTTCTCCCTCTCAGTAGGACTGCACTATTTTCAAGTGAGTGCACCCTTACCTCGGGTCAGGTAGCCCAAACTCCTGCCATCCTAAGGGACCTTGAAGACCCCCCAAACTGCATTATGCAGGGCAGAGGGAAACCCTCGAGTGCCACCCACACCTTCAGGGGCTAAGAAGAAATGTCCCAGAGCATTAGCTGACAGTCCAGAAAGGCAAGTGAGTATAAATACAACAGGCGCATTCAGACCCAAAGGGAAGTGGAGATTGGGTCTAGCCAGGGGTCACTTTAGGCAGAGGGCCAGGCAACACAGAAGGAAGACATGAGGTCTTTTGGGGTAGGTAAGTGAGAGACAAGATGATGACCCAAAGTCTTAGACTGCTTCCAGCAAAGCAGAAAAGATTCCCCACAGAGAGAGGTCAGGACAGTATCTGACTCTGTGACCAACAGCAACCCTTATATCTGTCAGTGCTGCATGCAGTAGCACAGGCAGGGGGCCTTGAGAAAGGGGAAATATGTTACTGTGCTTCCCTTGCTCCCCTCCATGCCTGATCTTTTCTTCAGCTGGGCTCCATTTCTCTTGGACACAAAGGTCCAGTGATCTGGCCTCCCTCCAGGGAGTTTCTTTAGCATTACCCCATACTTTTCAACCTGATTTGTTCAGATTTCTGAATCTCCCTCACCAAGCTATTTATGGTAGATTCATAGATGTTGGATGGCTACAATATATAAGAAATCTTTCATCTCATGGTAGGATGCAATTATCTGCCTCTGAAAATGGCTTTTTATTCTCTGACAGCAGCCAGGGTACAAAGTTTGGATCTGTATTTGTCAAGGAAGGTAGCTGTTATGTCTTTGCATAAGTTCTAAGGATGGAGAAGAGCAAATAGTGGTCAGAGATGTGGATTTTCTAATGATTAAACCCTGGATCTGCTCTTCTTCGCTTATCCATGATAGGGATAATTCAAGTCCAATCTTTTAGTTCTCATCTGATCATATTATACATTAAGACTGCTGGTCTCCAAACCCTTTCCACTGAGGTTAAATGAAAGAGCATCTCCCAGTTGCAGTAAGGACCCAGGTTAGGAGACAGGAAGAATCCTGGGGAGGTGAACAGGTTAACCTGAACTCCACTGATGAAGACTCCTGCAGAGTTTATTCCCAAGATTCATCAGCTCTTCTTGAAGCCAAGGCCTTGGTTCTTCAGAGAAAATTAGCTCCAAAGACCAAGACGTTAGGAGCTTAGCAGGGAAAGTGTTTGATGAAGTCAAAGCCCAAGTTTTGGGATTCGGGGAGGTGGTAGGAGCAGAGTAACACTGGGTTTCCAAAGTGAAATGTTTCCATTAATATGAATGACTTGTTGGCAGAGTTTCCGGGAAATCCAAGCTCTAGGAGTATCAGCACTCAGCCCGAGTTCTCCTTTGGGGCGATGAGAGTGGCCTTGAAGCTGTATGTAGGTATGTAAGAACCTATCAGTCAAGAGCAGGAAGAGCTTTCACAGGGACCATGTCAGGCAGCTAAGATCTGCTGGAGACCACACGCTCCACCAGTATCTTTATCTCCAGAGAAGTCATTAGATGGGCTACTTCCTTGCATTTGATGATCCCAGATGAGTTTCCTATTTTTCCTTAATAAATTGACTTTTAATCTTTTTTCTTAGTTTTTTTCTTTTAATATGTTTTTAATTGCTGTTGGGTTTCTTCCAAGCCCCTGCCCCAACCACAGACACGCACTGACCTTAGACTTTGGCGCATCTATACACCTATAATCCTGAATATTTGCACACACAAAAAAAAAAACACCTTTATCCCCAGTGGCTTGGTATACCCTTTATTCCCTTTTCTATCTGTTTGATTTCTACTGATGTTTCAATATATTAAACAGAAGGATCATATTTTTCATGCTTTCCTCTTTCCCATGCATTAAATGTACACCTTATGCTAACATTTATCCCAAAACTCTAACAATTTGGTTACTTCTCTGTCTTCCATCCTAAGCAGGATATCTGAAGGGCAAAAGATGATCCTTTAACCTCTGTATTAGCACCCTCTAGCAAATAGCTTTGTACATCATTGGTCATATAAGTAAATACTTTGCAGTGAATGAATAATTAAAGGAAAGAAGGGGAGAGCAGAGGAGAGGAGAGGAGAGGAGAGAAGAAGAGAACACAGTCTTAACTGGAAGAGGTTCCCAACAGCATATCTCTTAACACCTATCTGAGAAGAAGACCACCTGGTATCCATACAATGAAGGTATGGGCCAGGTGAAGAAGTATGAGGGAACTTGGGAAGGATAGATTTTGGGATAAGCATTGTTTTTCCCAGGTTCCCTTTTAAAAATGTGAATAGACCCTGAGAGTAGTAATTGATAAATAAATTTGAGCTGTCACTTTATACTTTGGAAGAGAACTTCAGAGCTTATGTGGGAGTCTAAATGGCTTGGAAGAGGGAGTAGGGTAGGGGAAGAAAAGCTAAGGTTCATTCAGTTCCCAGGTTTCCAGGACTGGCCTCTCTGACTGTGCTCCATGTCCTAGCAGGCTGCCAGTGTGACCTCACCTTCTCCAGTGCCCCTTTCTTGGTGCCAGTTATGAGTTCCTGCAACTTCACACATGCCACCTTTGTGCTTATTGGTATTCCAGGACTTGAAGAAGCCCATTTCTGGATTGGCTTCCCCCTGCTTTCAATGTATGCCATGGCAGTGTTTGGAAACTGCATCGTGGTCTTTATCGTAAGGACAGAACACAGCCTACATACTCCCATGTACCTCTTTCTCTGTATGCTGGCAGCCATCGACCTGGCCTTGTCCACATCCACCATGCCCAAGATCCTTGCCCTCTTCTGGTTTGATTCCCGAGAGATTACCTTTGATGCCTGCATTACCCAGATGTTCTTCATTCATGCTCTCTCAGCCATCGAGTCCACCATCCTGCTAGCCATGGCCTTTGACCGTTATATAGCCATCTGCCACCCATTGCGCCACGCTGCAGTGCTCAACAATACAGTAACAGCCCAGATTGGCATAGTGGCGGTGGTCCGTGGGTCCCTCTTCTTTATCCCACTGCCTCTGCTCATCAAGCGGCTGGCCTTCTGCCACTCCAATGTGCTCTCACACTCCTACTGTGTACACCAGGATGTGATGAAGTTGGCCCACACAGATACGTTACCCAATGTCGTCTATGGTCTTACCGCCATTCTGCTGATCATGGGCGTGGATGTCATGTTCATCTCCTTGTCCTATTTTCTGATTATACGAACAGTTCTACAACTGCCTTCCAAGTCAGAGCGGGCCAAGGCCTTTGGAAACTGTGTGTCACATATCAGTGTGGTATTGGCCTTCTATGTGCCTCTCATCGGCCTCTCAGTGGTACACCGTTTTGGAAACAGCCTCAATCCCATTGTACACATTCTCATGGGTGATATCTACCTACTGCTGCCTCCAGTGATCAATCCCATCATCTATGGAGCCAAAACCAAACAGATCAGGACTCGGGTGCTAGCTATGTTCAAAGTCAACTGTGACAAGGACCTTCAGGCTGTGGGAGGCAAGTGACCCTTAACACTCTACTTTCCCTTATCCTTAATGACTTGATATAATGACTCCCTAATGATAGCTTAATTCTAGTTGCCTGTAAACATAACAATGCTTTTCTCTGGTTGAGCTCCAAATTCTGCCTCTGCTCAGAGTGAAATTTGGGGAGATATCATGATTCCCTTCCATAGGTCAAAATGTTATTGTTATCTTTGTTATATAAAAAGTCTAAATTAGAAAATCCACTGCTACTCCAATAAGTAGTATAGGGACATAAAGAAGAATGACAAAAAATAAAATTGGATTTGAAACAAGGGAAAAATTATTTTATCTGACTAGTAATCCAAAAAATCTGTATTAAAACAATAATTAGGCAGCATTTTTGCCTATCAAATTAGCAGTTTTTATTAATTAAAATTAACAATGAAGGAGATTGTGTTGAAATATATATTCTTGAACATAATAACTGATAGTATATTGGCAATATGCAGCAAGAATTTTTTTTAAAGTATATGCTTTAATGTTGAAGTCTCACTTTTGAAAATGTATCCTAACAAAATATCCCTAAATGAAACATGCTTATAATGTTAAGAAAAACAATAAAGACAAAGGATTGAAACTAACTTTAAAAACAATCTGTGCCTTGAAGGAAATGTGCTCAAATTACTAGTGACTTATTTTTGTTCCTACTTTAAAAATTTCTTCATTATGGTAGTCTTGTTTACTTAACATGTACAACTTTTAAAATGGGGAAAATGGAACTGATAATTTACATAAACCAGAGCTTGTCACAGACCACACTGCTGATTCACTGTACATTACCTGGGAATTTATCTAAGCCCTAAATAATAATGCCAATGAAATATATCTTGAATGCTTTCAATGTTCCAAGCTCTAAGATAAGTGCTTTACAGGTTTTATCCAATCTTCACAACAACTTTATAAGGTAGGTATCATTTTTGTCCCTCATTAAAAGTGAGAGAAATGAGGCTTACATTAACAAGGTAACTAAGTCACATAGTTTGTGGGTGCTGTGCCAAGATTTGAAATTAAATTTGATAACCAAATACAATTACTTAATTTCTATGTTATATTGCTTCCTGTTTAACATCTGCCATTTATTTCCTCAGCCTGTGCAAATCCTGTTTTCTCTCTGCTGTGTGCCTTATAAGATGAATGACCACATTTGTGTTGAGAGAGAATCCCTGCCCTTGTTGTAGGCAACAAATTCAGATTATTCTTCATGTTTTACAGTCACCTTTCATGTTCTCTAGCCTTCTTCTTTACAGATAAAGGGAGAATATTTTTGTCTATTTATTTCTTACACCTTCTCAATTGTGTCTCTCTTTTTTAGTTTATTCTGAATTTTAACTTAGGTGTAATATATAATAAAATTTTATTTTAAATTTTGCTCAATGTTATGCCTATTGCATTTGTATTTATAGAATCCTATAAACTCAGATTTGGAGACGTGAGAGGTTCCCTGGTCTTCTTTCCCACCAGGTATTATTTGTATAACTATAAAGGTACTGAATGCATCTTTTCTCAAGGTCTGCTGAGAAGCTGAAATCTGACTACAGTCACTGAGCCTATGTTTTCCCTCAGGAGCTTCATTGAACACATCTTGAGTGAGAGAATTGGGTGAATAAACCATGGGGGAGACTCCAACCTGTAGGCTTTCTTTTAAGAAGAGAAAACCTCAGACACCTGACCTATCTCCTAGAGAAAGCCCCTCCAATCATATATATCTGCAAGCATCAAATCGTGATTCCCTACTCAGAGCAGTAAAGTGGCCGCCAAAGTCATGCAGCTAACCAATGCAGATAGATCGGGAAAGAGACAGGACAGAAGAAATGGGTGACTTCTTTAAAGAAACAAAAAGACGGATACCCATGTTCTATAAAACTGGAGATTCAGGTACTGGGTCTCAATCCAGATGATGAGATCAGGGGCCTCATTTTACGAGGTTGTACACTCTTATGTCTCTTCCTACAACCTCCATTCTTGTCTATCTTCCAATGCATTACTCTACCTCAATCACACCCTCCTACCTACTTCTATGTGCCTAAGAGCATGGCCAGCATGACAATTTTAAAAAGTATGCATCTCTTGCTCCCAAACCCCTCATCGTATTTTACCAGAGCCCAACTTATTAATATTCTATTGCTGTCTCCCCTACCCTTCACTCTACCCTAAGATTTTTATATTAAAAAATTCATCTGAAGACCTTAATACCAATATTGATAGCAGCACTATTCACAATAGCCAAAAAGGCGGAAATAACCCAAGTGTTCCTCTACAGATGAATGGATAAACAAAATGTGGTATATATATATACAATGGAAAATTTTTCATCCATGAAAAAGAACAAAATTCTGATACAGTCTACAACATGGATGAACCCTGACAACATTAATGTTAAGTGAAATAAGCTAATACAAAAGGACAAATATTGTATTATTCCACTTATGTGAGTACCTAAATTACGCAAATTCATAGAGACAAAAGTAGAACAGACCTTACCAGGGAGCGGGGGGAGGGAGGATGAGGAGTTATTGTTTATTGGGAACAGAATTCCCATTTGGAAACATGAAAAGATTCCAGAAATAGATAGTGGTGATGGTTACATAATAATGTGATAATGTGTATAAACTTAATCGTACACTCAAAACTTTGTTAAAATGGTAAATTTTATGTTATGTATGTTTTATCACAATAATCACCAAAGAACATAAAATATCTCATTATCAATTTTGTATCAAAACATGTTGAAATGATTATATTTTGGATATGTTGGGTTGAAGAAAATATATTGTTAAGGTTTTTTAAAAAGTAACCCAAAGAGGATGATATTTAATTCCCTGTATTAAGGGGAGGACAGAGCCTTGGGCTGGGATTTGGGAGCTCTAAGCTATGGTTCCTTTTCTGCCACTAGGTTGGTGATCTTATCTAATTCTCCTGAACTAACTCTATAAAACATAGTGATTAAACCACATACTCTCTAAATTTCATTCCTATTCTAAATATTATGTGCTCTGAGCATTAAGAAGCCATGAACAGAGAAAACTATTAGAAAGATGGCGGACAAGGTGAAAGCAGGGTTTGCCTCCTCCCAGGTCCACATTGAAATTACAACTAAATTATAAAGTAATCAATGTGGAGAATCACCTGAAGTCCAGCTGATTGTACCACGTACGTCTGATAATATAAAGGAGCCACGTCGAAGCCAGTAGGAGGGGCAAAGTCACAAATCAGGCTGGACCTGCACCCCTATTTGGTGGAGGATCACCAGGAGGGAGAGTGAGGCTACAGAAGCTCCCCTGAAGGAGAGGGGAGTCTTGGTCACATTCGGGGCCTCTCCAGCCCAGGGTCCCAGCCCAGGGAAGAGGAGATTCCAATAACTCTGACTGTAAAAACCAGAAGGGATCCCCGGCATCTAGGTGAGAAGGAAGGAGATTAAAACCTTAGATGTCCCTTTCAAGGGAGTATGCACAGGCTTTCTTACCTGCGGACATTCACCCGGGCACCAGCAGTGGGTCAGACAGAGGCTTACACAGGATTCGTACTGAGAAAATCTGCATTACCCGGTACCAGAACGAGGGCTGGAAGGGCAGCCACCATTGTGCCTTAGTCCAGCCCCCCTACCAGGCATACTATAAACCGCACCAGCTTGACCATGCAGACCCCTCCCACAGAGCAATTAGGAAGCAATGGCCTGAGGTGATCAGCCCACCCCACCCAACCTGCAGGTTGCCTGGGACTTTTGTTGTTGGATGGCTGCCATGCCCTGCATTAATTCAGGGCCAAACATTCACAGCTGGCAGCCAGTGCTGTGAGTGCACATTTTGAGATGGTTTCAGGCAAATAACTCTTGCCAACACAAACTTGGGCAGATCTCAGGGATCTGTGGGCCAGTTCCAGATAGCAGCTGGTCTTGCCGTGATTTGGGACTTCTATGGGAACACACCAAAGCTTACCGAAGTTGCAGCAAGACTGAGGTTGTATTGATCTGACTGCCATTGTCTTCCTGAGACCCAGCCCCATCTTACCCACAAATTGTCCCAGGTGGCCCATTGACAGTGAACCAACATGGCCTTGCCTCTCTCTGCCCCAGGTCTTCCAATCCGCATAGGCAACAAACTTTAGCTAGCACTGGGCAGAAACTGCTAGTAAATCAGTTGCAAGCAGACCTCTGCTGACTACAAGAGTTGCAATATTGTGTCTGGGGAGTGCAGGGGTCTGTGGCACTGCCCGAGATGACAATTGGTCTCACTGTGATCTGTGACTACAGCAGGAACACCCAGGCACAGAAGTTGCAGCAAAACTGAGGCTGTATTGGTCTGATGGCACTTGTCTCCCTGAGATCCCATTTCACCCAAGCCACAAATTGCCAGCAGCCCAGTGACAGGCAGCCTCCCTTGCTCTGCTTTCTCTGGGGTTGTACGTTCTGCGCAGGCAACAGACCTTGGCTAGTGCAGTGAGCGCATTTTGGGGAAAACAGTTGTGGGCAGACTACTGTTGCCTGTATGAGCTGTGATATCTCTTGAGGGGATTGCAGGGTTCTTGGGATTGCCCCAGACAGCAGCTTGTCTCCATGTGATCTGTGACTACTGTGGAAATGTGCAGAAAACTGAGGCTATTGGCCTGACAGTTCTTGACTCCCTAAGCTCCTGCCCCATCCAATACTCAAAGTGCCTACCGCACATTAATAGGCAGCTGTCCCTGCCCTGGGATAGTGCATTCAAGTCCAAGGTGGGCAGCAGCTGACACTGCTGTGATTGGAAACATACAAGGAGCCACAGAGACAGTACTGCAGGGGCAGGGGAAATTTACTCAATAGACACAGAAGACTCCCAGGGTCCCTGCACCATCCAACATGCATATTACCCAGAGGCTCTTCAAGTTTCAAAGGCTTATGGGCAACTGACAGGCAGTGTCAAGCCTTGAGGAGCATGGGTCCCTGTGCCAAATGGCCCTATGTCAGGGACAGGGAATAACTCGCTGACTACAGCATTGTCTTG